GGGAGGTTGCCTTGGGTGGCCGGGTCGGGAGGCCTCGGGGGCACGGGCCTATCTGGGATGAGCCTTCGGCCCGAACGCTGATCACACAGAGCGGTAGAAATCATCATCGTCGTAGTCATGCAGCCGCTGGCGCTCGGCTGAGCGCCCCTGTGGATGGCCGTGTGCTGGCAGCTGGGCAAGCGCGTCTCCCCCAACGGTGACACAAAGTTGGTTCCATTCTTGACCCCACTTTGGACCCGGAGGTCGCGGGAGTTGAGAGCCGGGAAGTGGGTTTCCAGTCTCGCCGGGTCCGGTTTCCCAGGGCTGGACTCTCTAACCCGTCGGTGACCCCAGTGAAGACATAGGTCAGGGAAAAGAAATCCAGCATTTCCTCCTAAGTGGCTTGGAAGGTGAACCCTGTGCACCCTCCTCCCAGGGTAGCTGTTTTCTAGGAAGCCTGAAAGGTCAGCCCACGTTCTGGTTCTCAAACACACCGAATTCTCTTCGTGGAGCTGCGAGCCTACTGGTCCCTCTGCCTGGACCAGCTCACGACAGGCCCCCCCTGTCCCGGGGGCATCCTAACCGGTCTGTCTTCCTCTGTATCCCTGCCCTCTGTTCATTTCCTTCTTAGCACTTATAACTTGTCGTTATGTGTTTTCTTTTAAAAATCCTATTATCCTAATCAGTCTCTGAGCTCTCTGAAGACAAGGGGCCGTGCCTGTTTTTTGGTACCACTGTGTCCCCAAATGGCTAGCATGGCACAGCCAGAATTAAGGGATGTGCTGTTGCTCAGGTACACTCATTTTTTGGTTTTGTTTTGTGCAGTAAATCATTTATTGCCTACCTAGTACATGGGAGACAGGCACCTTGATGGACATTTTCAGGACAGCACAAGATTATAGAGGGTCTTGATTGTCAGACTAAGGAGTCTAAACTTTACTCTGCAGGCAGCCAGGAGCCCGTGAACGTTTTTGAGGAGAGTGACATGATTAGCTGCGCTTCAGGAAGATTATTCTGGCAGCAGTATTTAAGAGGGATGACAGAGCAGAGGCTGAAAGTCTAGTCCAGAGCCTCAGACTTCAATATGTTACAGGAGTCACTGGAGACCCTGATTTTGTAGGTCTAGAATGAGGCTGAAGAAGCTACTTGTCTAACAAGCTCCTAGGTGATACTAATGCTGTTGGCCCCACTCACCATCCTGAGTGGCAAGGCCCTTGAGGACAGTTTGGACATCTTTGAAAATTCCAAGTGACAGCTAATAAGCTCTTGACTCAGGGCCCCTCAGTGACTGGGGCAAGTGACCGACCAGGCAAATCTGCAAATGAATGTTGATAGAAAAGGGAATTAGATTTTGGAGGGTGTGTGGGCTAGGAATTGCATTTTGATAGTGGTAGCAAATAAGTGTATGTGAGTTTATTTTCTTCATGAAACAAGAAGTGTGAAGGTCAGTGGTGACTGCCGCCAACTTATTGGCTCAAGGACTGAATCTCTGAAATTCGTTTAATGATTATAGTAGGCTGCTGAAGCCCCAGCCATTGCTTCCACATTTCAGGCAGAAAAAAGGAAGGAAAAAAAAAATTCCTGCCAATGAAGTAACACTCCTTCTCCTGAGGAGCTTTCCAAAAGCCTTTCATTGTAACAAACGCTTAAGCATATCACAACTCAGTAAGGGAGGATAGGAAATGGTTTATTTCTCTGTTTAAAGTCAGACCTGTAGCATAGAAAATTTGATCCTGCCTTGAGGTGGGCCTTAGCACTTGGGCTGTATCTGCCCAGAGGAGAGAATGCCTTTTTACAATCCACATGAAGAGACCAACTCTCATCGCTTTATGGTAATACTCCTGGCAGCTTTCGTTTACTGAGCAGTTGCTATGTGCCAAGCCCTGTGCTAAATACTTGACATGTGCTATTTAATGTATTCATTGTAATGGCCATATCTACTACATAACTTTTACAAGTAAGTGTAAGAGCTGGCGTCCCTGCCACAAAAATTGCCGCTTCATGTTAACTTGAAAGAAAGCTATTGAGTTTGTAGAAGCATCAAGCTGACACACACAAACTACTGATGCTCATGTGTACAGAATTATAGCCCCTTCAAAGAAGAATTTTTGAAGAAACGAATCCTAACACTTAGGTTTTACAGAGAAGCTCATTAATGACTGAGTGGGAGATATAATCCAGGTCCTCCCAATACCATCCAACTCAGTGGAAATCTTAGTATTATTTGTTCTAATGAGCACATGACGATCCACAAGTCACTTGACCTCTTGGAATCTCAAATATTCCCGTTGACAAAATGGGACATGGGGCTAGATGATTTTAGAGGGACTTGGGCTATGATGTTTAGTTTATGTATGAGAAAACAGAAGTAAAATGGGTAGTGCCATTGCCTTGTTAGAGTCTGGTGTGGCCATGTGCTCTTTGAGCCATGGTTGTCGCCACGCTTCCTGGCTTTGGCCCCCTCCCCCACCTTGGGGAGGTGAATCTTCTTTCTTCCTTCTCTTTCTCTCTTTAATTTACTTTTAAATAAACTTTTCTTTCTTAAAAAAAAAAGTAAAATGGGTATATACCTCAAATAGGGAGAGATGTATTCTTCAGGAAAGGACATGAAAGAAGAGACAGCCGGGCTCGGTGGCTCAGCCTGTAATCCCGCGCCTTTGGGAGGCTGAGATGAGTGGATTGCCTGCGCCCGCGAGTTCGAGACCGCCTGGGCAGTGAGACCTCATCTCTACAATAAATCAAAAAATCAGCCGGGCATGGTAATGCGCGCCTGTAATTCCGGCTACTTGGAAAGCTGAGTCGGAAGGATCGCCGGAGCCCAGCAGGTCGAGACTGTGGTGGCCGGGAGCGGCCACTGCACTCCAGTCTGGGCGAGAGTGAGACTCCAATTCAAAAAAAAAAGAAAGAAGAGACATTGATCCCGTATCATTTAAATTTCTCTGTGTTTTCTATTTCTGGCTCGGCTCAATATGCTTCTCTTTGGGACTTGAGATTGGTTTAGTCATTTGCCCAGGCTCAAATAGCAGAAGCAGCAGTAGAACATATATAAAAATCATGGCTCTCTCACAGCATTTGTGTGTCTACTCTTTTCTCAACATTTGTTCAGTAGATTAATTCTTGAGGAAAAATCATTAACATTTCATTGGCCAGGATCAACTTATTTTCCTTTTACTGTTTCTAGGAAGCTTCAGGCGAGAATTTTAAGTACTTTCTTCTGCACCAAATTGCATGCCTGCATCTCAAAGCAAAACAGCTCTATAAGATTGTTTCCTGTAAGAAAAATTTTACACATAGAAAGTTGGTGTTTCCCACCCCATCCTCAAATCAGTTATGTCACCTCTTTGATGCACATATAGGTAGTGTGAATGGTACTGGAAATTCCAACTGTTCAGAGGAACAGTTTGGCATAACTTGGGAGAGAGATAACAGTCAAGGCCATGGGGCCCATAATCTTGCAAGCAAATTTAGCCAATGTTTCCTGTTTAGGCTTTGGTTTTTGTCCAGTCACTTGCCAACAGGTTCATTGAATGCTAAATTAGAGAAAGTTGGTTTGATTTTACTCCATCCCAACTCCTAGAAAAAAATGAGCCAAAGTCTAAGTTCAATGGATGTTGGATTATCAAACAATAGCACTCAGATTGGCTTGTTCACAGGAGCTGTCATAACTCTGACAATGAAAATGGAATTTGCAGTTAAGAATACTCTGGTTCATATACAGGTCCCAGGGAATACTAACTATACATCCTTGGGCAATGCTCTTGTCTACTCTAAACCTCTGAATATCAAAAGTCATTGTGAGGAAGATTAAATTAAATGAGATCCACTTACAAAGAGTGTAGCACAAGGTGTACACATAGGTGGTGCACACCATTAATAAATGATGACTACGATTATACGTATTTGCTTTATAAATGCCTTGGCTAACCATGGTTTCACAGACTTTTATATTCCCCACCCCAACCTAGTCAAACATAGTAGGTTCTCAATATTTATGAGGCAGGTACGAATATCAGTCCATGCAACCAACTGTACAAGAAATACAACTGCTTCCCAGAAGCCTAATTTCTGAATTGCTATTTTACCTGACTGGTGGAGAAGAAA